GTAAGTATTTATCCCTACAGATAAACAACACAAAAAACACTTTCATTAAAAACCATAAACACTCGCCACTTGTAGCATTACATGCAATACGAACTAAAAAGCACAAAAAGAAAATACTCGATGCACCGTTACACGGAAAATAATCAAGCACGATTTCTCAAAAAATATCTACTCCAGCAAGCATGCTATCTTGTCGACTACTCGAAAGCTAACTGACTAAAAAACAAAACAGCAGTTTGCGCGAATGTGCATCTTACTGTATAGATGACTACAAGAGCTAAATTCAAAACAAAACAGCAGCTCGCGCGAATGTGCATCTTTTTCTAAAGTGCGTGACTTGAAATATATGTGTATATAATCAAAACAAACAACTCGCCAAGAGTTACGACGAAAGGACATGGCCTATATTGGGAACTACTCAAGAAGAAAAAGAGCATTATGTATTAATCAAATAACACATTTCTTTTCCACCAGTCTGATTTGCGTTTCTTTCCTTTTTTTTAATAATTTTATTGTGACAGATTGATTATCATATGACTGGATCTTTTTTGTTGTGTGATTAGCAAAGACTGGTCATATTATTTCTTTGGTAGGGTTTGTGAAAAATAATGGAGCAACAGATTTTCATTGAATGCATGAGCATTAAAAAAAAAAATTAAAAATTAAATATTTATTAGTAGCCTTGAATTAAATAAAACAAAAAAAAACTTGTAGTATAAGTAGTAACAAGAAAAAAAAAATCGGAATCGTGGCTTGAACCTGAGTTTGTCAGATTCAACGTGCGGGCAAAAGAGTTTAACCGCTCGACTACGACAGCCACGAAACGTAATAGCATTAGATTATATTTAAGCTGTGAAAGTGGGCGGGGCTTAGGTTAAAGGTACGGTAGGGAGAGCTCTCCCTCCACTGCCTGACAGCGCCTGCCTGACGTGGAGAGAGAAAAATCGTTGTGCGCTTGCGCGAGAACTCTTGGTTGTTAGAAACACTGCCATAAACCTCTTATTCACGCTTTAAAGCAGTACGCTGACAAGGCGTCCCCTCATCAGTGCAGACAGCTTTCGTTTATTTCACAGTTTACTACATCTATTCGACTTGTTTCCGGTATTGAAAATTCGGTCACTGATGCTCTTTCGCGTGTTGATTTGATACGTCTTCCTATCAAGTTCAACTTACTTGAGTTTGCTCAGCTTCAGAAGGCGGATCCCATGTTAGCCGAGTTGTTGAAGATTGCCGGCAAGCACTCGCTAGTTATCAAGAGCATTGAGTGGGGTTAGAACCATCATAAGGTGTTTTGCGATGTGGTGGGAAGCGTTCCTTGTTCGTACGTTCTCCAGGAAAATATTCGAACTTTTTTACAGTCCTGCCGACTCCGGAGCCAAAGTAACTGATAACATAATCAGACAGAGGTATGTGAGGCCTAAAATGCATATCGATATCAGAGCTTAGTGTAAAACCTGTATCGATTGCCGAACTTCAAAGGTTTTCCACCATCTTAGAAACGCCTCCTGTACCTTTATTGCTTTATACATCTACACATAGATATCGTTGGTCCACTCCCTAACTGCAGGAGTTATTTGTATATCTTTACAGTGGTTGATGGGTTTTCTCGTTGGCCGGAGGCTGTGACGCTTACGAAGATTTCAGCAATTACTGCAGCGCAAGATTTTTTTGATAATTGGATCGCTCGTTTCGGTACTCCTTGTACCCTTACTACCGACCAAGGTCCCCAATTTGAGTCGCAGATCTTGAAAGCGCTCCTGAGTCCCCTGGGCATTCAGCGAATCTGGACGAATACTTATCATCCTGCAGCAAACGGTATAATCAAGCGTTGGCGTCGAGACTTCAAGAAAGCTTTGATGTGCCATAATAATGAAAACTGGCTCTGACAGCTCTTTACTATTATGCTTGGTTTGCAAAAAGCTGTGCGTCTGGACTCTAAGGCTTTGCCCACCGATTTCTTGTATGGTACTTCTCTTTGGGTGCCCAGTGAGTTGTCTCCCGGGTGATTTTAGGCCGAACCCTTAGTTCTTCTTGGAGTTTCGTGAGCACATGCAGAATATTAAACCCATTCCTGTCACGCATCGTTATAAGTTACGTGCATTCTTCTTAAAAAATTTGTGTACCTGCAAGCATGTATTTATGGAAGCTCCGCCCTCAAAGATAGTTCTCGAACGGCCTTACTCCGGTCCTCATAAGGTCCTCGAGCACATTTCAGGACAGGATTATAAAATCGATGTTAACGGTTCGCCCAAAACAGTCTCTACTACGGAAGCGCCTAGTCGCCATCTTTGTGCGAGTTCGAGAGCATGCATCTTTTTTGGAGGGAAGCGAGGCACGGTTGTGCAGTGCAGCAAAGGACTGCATATATACATATAGCATCGTTGGAAAAAAAATGTAAATATAACCTCCAAATTTTTGGATTTGGAATTTTATTGCTGCTGTGTTAATTGATGCGTTTGGTGATAAACTGGAACTGAATGATTTTTGATGTTTGGTCGCAAATAGGTAAGTAAAGAAATTGAAAGAAAATAAAACCAGTAATGTACACATGCTAATGTTTTACGTCGTTATAGTCATTTGGTAAGATGAGGACTATTCAGCTCACTGTTGATGAAAAAGTCATAAATCTTGAAACAAGTGATAATAAAATACGTAAATCCACGTTGATCAACCTGAATCCTGCTGGAGGCTTTCTAACTTACGACGTCAAGGGAGAGGTTTTTTTGGTGGAATCGGATGATAATTTTTTTTTTATCAACGAATCAGTGACTGCACACAAATTACATGCTCATGGTATGAATTTTACTACTATGTAGGGAATTCGTCCTAAATTTAAATGCATGTATAATTTTTTTCCAAATATCCGGACAATCCAAAAAAACCCAAGTTAAATGACGAAATGCTGTCGAAGATCAGGGAGAAATTTCCTAACAAACACTCGAAGGTACTGCATTTTTAAAATTGTGTATTCAAATGGGTACTTACACTTTATTCAATAATAATTCTTTTGTTAGGTAACAGAGCAGAAGGTAGTAAACAAAAAACAAGATATGCAAGTAGCTCAACAACAGCACATCAAACGAGTTATTTGTATTGGTTGGAAACATAGAGTGGATGCCAGTGGTGCTTTTTCTAAAGTGTCTTTTACAAGAAAGCAGAAAATTGAACTCAATGGTAACTATAAGTATTCAGTGCAAGAATTAAAAGAGATTATGATGGAAAAGTACGTGGACGATCTTAATGAAGATTATTTTGTAAATGCTGAGGTGGAAATTAGTAACTCGGATGGAGTAATCGTTGAGGCTTTTCAAAACTCGCAAGGAATTCCAATTGATTTTTGGACTTATGGAAAAGAGAATTTTAAAAAATCTGACCACTACATGCACGTGTACCTTCTTACAACCAAAATAACATCAAAATCCAAGAAAATTAGAACCGACAGTGGAATTGTCAACGTGATGCCTCAATCTAAAAGTGAAAAGGTAGTGAATACGTCTAAAGAGTCAACTGTCGGGGCTAATATAATTGAATCTTCTAAGAATTGTGACGGCAGTAACGAAATTATATAAAAATTATAGAATTTCTATATAGAATTTCTGTATTATAGAAATTCAGCATTGCTCTCCTCGTCTCCATTTATCTCGTCTCCAGAATACTCTAAGAACTCTGAGCAAACATCAATCAATATGGACGATTCCTTTCTACGTGACTATCTTTCTTGCAGTGGGTTGAAAAACTTGACTGGTGGAGCAGGCAAAAAAAGCTTCGAATTCCTTGTACCGGGTGAAGTAAAAAAATCCAAAAAAATTCAAAAAACGTTACCGACTGTGTCATTGAAGAAAGTGAAACTCAGTAGTGTTATTCTTGGTGAGGGTGCCCAAGGTACGGTCTACAAAGGATCGTTGTACGGTACCAAAGTTGCAGTAAAAATTATGATAAAAGGCACGGATAACAAAGTGGCTTTGAGGGAAATCACACTCTTAGGGCAAATTAGACACCCAAATATAGTGTTTATTATGGCTGTAGGCGAGTCTGATCAGCAGTTTCAAATTATCACGGAATACTTTCCATCATTGTCTTTACACAGTATGCTGTTCGATAAGGACGTTTCCATCAAGTTTCCGCTGGATTTACCAAACAAGAAGTCGATAGCCCATCAAGTAGGTTTAGCACTTTCTTTCCTGCATGAAAGCTCACCAACAATTCTCCATCGAGATGTCAAACCGTCAAATATACTAGTCAATCGGCACTGCGTTGTAAAACTGTGTAATTTAGGCTTAGGAAAGTGCGAAATATTGCAAAATAGTTTAGCATCAACTATGAGGGGTGGCATGTGTGGGACCTACATGTACATGTCACCTGAAATATTTTTACGCAGAGAAGAAGCGACTGCAGCTAGTGACGTTTGGTCGTATGGTTGTTGTTTAATCGAATTATTCAACAAAAATAGTGTGTGGGACATGACAAGTTTCGCGTGGGATGTATATGGCTGCGTTCGACAAAATTTAGAGAATAAAAATATTCCTGATATGAGAGAAGTTCCTAACTTATATAAAAAAACTAGTTGAAACTTTCTTTGAGTATGAGCCAAAACGTCGACCCCAGATGGTGGACTTTGTAACTATTTTTTCAGATTTAGAGTAATTATTTTTAAGTATATTTAAGTTTTATTATGATTCGTTGGTGTGTATTACATAATTTGATATATGATTCCCTAATGATATTTAGAGTGCAGAGGGGAAAAAGTCTTGAGATTGCTGTGTCTGTGATCAAAAAATAAGTAAAAGACCAGTATTACTATAAATATTATATAATGCATGTTCTTGTTGACAGGTTCAGAATGATACAGATCATTAAAATATTTATTAAAAATAGCATTAATAATTCTTCTACCTTTTCGTAGGTCGTTGAAAATGTATTTACTAACAAGTTTCAAAATGTTTTTGTATATTATATAAATAAATATTTTTTAAAACATGTGTGATCTAATCTTTTATTAGTCAAAATCAAATTTGTCAAATCTATTTAGCCTTCGTTCGACTTAAGGAAATCCATGACTTTTATGTAAAAATTGAAAGCATCTTTAGCTGTGTGGAGGTCAGGAACATCAAAGATTGTTTTGATGAAGTTGGCAATGTCGAGAGAGGCAAGTGTTGGCTGCATGGTGTACTCGTCTTGAAGATACTGTACGTGCTGCATATCAACTGACTTTCTACAGTCACGAGCATTGACAGACCCTGGATTGTCAAATAACTCATTTGGCTTTCCATTTATGTTATTGGCGTTACTTAATTTGCGGATACGGTGCTCATTCCACTCTTTTCTTGTTAGATGCAACTCTCTTTTAATGACAGGTCCAAAGCAGTATCGTAGACATTCAATGCACAATGAGTCATTAACATCTAAAAGCATCGCTGACTCCATCGACTTGAATAAAGTTATATAAAAATCGGTCATATGAAGTCGGAGCTGCCTCCAATATGATTCAATTCTTTGATTGTGCGTGCTTTTACCTTTGATGAAACTTGAAGTTTTACTAAAATCGTCATCATGCTCATGGCGCAGAGCGATTTGAATATTTTCCATGATGCCTACTTCTGAACCATGGTCTGTCCTAACAATTGAGGGTAAGAATCCAAATTTCATTACAAGCTGACAAAAATAATATCCAATGACCCTGGGATCATTATTTGTGGAAGCAACATCAAGAAATAAAACTTTTCGGAAAAAGCCATCGATACAGCCGTATATGGCAAAGCCATATCTTTTGAGTTTGTCATATCCATCGCAGTGCCATAAAAAGTTTGGCCCATGAACGGAGTATACTCTTCTTTTCAGCCTGTACTTTCGACGGCCATCAACTCCTTCGGGATCAAACTCACGTAAAATCTTTAAAACAGTACTTTGTTTCACTTTCAAACTGTACAATCTCTTCAATCGAAGCCACAATTATTTGTAGCCCAAATTTCCACCACTTCCCTCTAATTTTAGTCGAGTAGCAAATAATATTTGTTCAATGTCTGATTCCACAATATTTTTCCTTTTAAGATTGTTACTTTTTAGTAGCCTAGATAAAGTTCTTGATGAAATTGTCAATTTGTACTTGTGTTGCAGCTTGTGCAGTATTACTCTGTAAGTGTAACCTTTTGCAAAATTTTGATTTTTTGAGTAGCAAATGGATTCATTATCAGTAACTACAAAACAAAAATGATGTTGATTGTTTAACAAAATCTAACAAAACATAAGTATGTCGCTTTTACAATTATTACTTCCATTTCTGTTTTGTATTTACTTACAAGAAGTTGTGTCAGAAGATGAAAAATAAGAGTTCGATGAAAGTGTGATATATAAACAGAACAGCAAAGATAATACTGCAAAAATTCGAGTGAATTAGTTTCCCAGCCTAAAAAATGAACTTCTTATAGAATCATGTATTATTTCGGAGGTCTTTAATCACATTCATCATGATTAAGGATAAACTACTGATATTAATTTATCAGTTAGGCATCAATTGACAGCAGCAATAAAATTCCAAATCCAAAAATTTGGAGGTTATATTTACATTTTTTTTCCAACGATGCTATATATATATGCAGTCCTTTGCTAGTGAATACGTCTAAAGAGTCAACTGTCGGGGCTAATATAATTGAATCTTCTAAGAATTGTGACGGCAGTAACGAAATTATATAAAAATTATAGAATTTCTANCCAGCCTAAAAAATGAATTTCTTATGGAATCATGTTTTATTTCGGAGGTCTTTAATCACATTCATCATGATTCAAGATAAGCTACTGATATAAATTTATCAGTTAGTCATCAATTAATACAGCAGCAATAAAATTCCAAATCCAAAAATTTGGAGGTTATATTTACATTTTTTTTCCAACGATGCTATATATATATGCAGTCCTTTGCTGCACTGCACAACCGTGCATCGCTCCCCCTCAGAAAAGATGCATGCTCTCGAACTCGCACACAAATGGCGACTATGCGCTTCCGTACTCTACCGAATTGCTGAAACCAGCTCACTTTATCCCGAAAGACCTGCGAACCCCACCACTTTCAGAGAATTTTGCACTGCCTAAACAGGCCCCGGTAGTTCGTCATATTCTTAAGACATATTTGAATAAAAAAAGATGTTTATGATTCTAAAAAAGTAGTGTTTAATACTGACGAAAACGGAATTTTTTATACTTGTAAGATAGAACATGTTGTTAACATTCACCAAGATTAATTTTTGTAGCGCTTTCATAAAAGTTATGTAGTATACAATACAAGTAACCGATAGACTTAACATACTTTAAATAGCGTTGCATAAAAGCTTTATGTACTACTAGCGGCTTCCCTCAGCTTCGCCCTAGAATCACTAAATGAAACACCGTAGTGTGTTTACATGTAATGTGAAATGATTTCAGTTAAAAATTTTACATCTATTCCTGACACTTCTAAGAACAAAATCTTTTTATTAAAAACACATTTGTTCGGAATTCATACAGTTTATTTGATCAAGTAAAAAGGTGTAAAAAGTGAAAAAAATATAATTACCCTAAAAATTACCCTGCATTCCTTATGCGATAAAATAATCCTTGGCCCTAAAAAGCCGTTGATTTACAGTTTCTCCTGTATATTCTATGATTAGGGCTATTTTTTAAAGCTGTAAATATTAAAAACTCACAAAGAATATATAATTAAAAAAAATTTTTTCTCTTATCTCACAACTTTGTTACCACAGCTCGAAGTCCTGGAGTTTAATCTCTGCATTTTTATCGCCACAAAAATACAAATACATATTTTACCTATTTAAAAATCTGGAAAATTCAAGAGATTACTATGAGGGTTATAATAAAAGTCTCTCCCTTAATAAGTTCTTTATTTATCGATTTTGATGCTGCTTTAGTCTCGATAAATGTTCAGCGTCATTTTCTTGACACCTAAAATTGTATTCGTTGGATGCATTTGAAGTTTTCCTTCCAATTCGACTTCTTGCGACTTTTGGCATAGTTACGACTTTTGTGAGCCCTAAAGCCTATTGTTTTTAACTTTATTAGGTTTTAATATATTTTTTGGCAATGCAGTTCGATATCCGATGACCCTGAAAAGGATCAGTGAGCTTCTGAGGTAAACTCTTTCTTGACTGAAGTTTCCAGCAAACGTAATTGCCTGTATACCTCAGGGTGATCTTTTCCGATCGGCTGTTGTAGCACCAGGATGATCGTAAGGAAACCAACGTCTGAAGCGTTAGAGCTAGTTGTAGAGCTCTTTCCCAACGTCTCCTGGTGTTACGCCGGAGACGTTGGTGTCTAAAGTACTTTCTTTTTTTTGCAGAGTTCAGTCGTTTTCGTGATCTAAGGTGGAGATATTGATTCGTGATGCTTGCCTATTGAAGACTGTCCCGTTGGCTCAAGTTTATTTTTCTTTCATAGCTGTTAGGTTTTCCCAGTGCAGACCTCGGATATCATGGGTGATTTCTGGTTGAATACTTATAGAGTAAGAGAGTAATGTAATGTAGGGTTCCCAGCCTTGCGACGAACAACTCCGCTCGTGACCTCGGCCAATGACTGACTTGGTTTAATAGTGGCCGGCTTTACATAGTATTATAGTCGACGAATCGCTTTCGGAAATGGTAGTAAAACTGTATTTGTTGGCAAGGTAGTTTCAATTTAGGTGGCTCTCAAAAGAACCGATGAGATTGATGGTTAAGTAGGGAACGTAATTACTTCTAATGGCCCTAAAAAGGGCCAGTGGTGAAACTTACAGCTATTCCTTATCATTATTCTTGATGATGGAGAGCTGGTTGCGGGTAGCTTGACTCTTGCCTTCGAAAACTCTGTGTACGGAGACAGTGACGGAGGGAGATACGCTGACCAAAGAATATCGCTTATAGTTAGTCGGGGGAGTAGGCCTGGAGAATACCTTCTCTGCAAGGTATGTCCTCGGGATGATCACTAAGAAGGAAGCTGTTGTGACTGCCCGTACTCTTTAGAGCTGTCTTCCCTGGCTTGCATTTGAATTAGAAAATTGTCCGATGGCACCAGGCCGGATGGTTGAACGACCACTAAGCTCTTAAGTGTTGGATCAGGTTGTGCTCTAGCTGGACACGTCTCCTGGTTTTCCGCCAGAGACGTTGACGTTCTGACCACCTATTTGACGGTGGCACTCGGTTATCTTGGCGATCCGGGATAAAAACCGATTTATTTCGCTTACCCATGAAAAAAGATTCTTATCGGTAGCCGGACAACTCGATGGGGGATGTTATAATCACTCTTCTCTTCACTATCTTTGATTGCAGGTTGCTTTAATTTTACCTCGACGCCACCTAGCGGATCCTACGGAACTAAAGCGCAAAGCTTTCTTATTTTAGGAAAACGTTGAGCTAGTTTATCTCTATTGTTATTCACTTTTTCAAGAAAAAAACTATGCGAAAACCATCTCGGAATCATCAAGAATATGCAAAATTTCAGCAAAATCGGTTCAGTAGTTTCCAAGGTTAGCGATTACAAAGGTTTTAGCGACTTTGCTTTATACATTAGTAAGATTAGTAAGATAAAGTTGCGATTAATTGATAGACTGCTTCTACTGTGATTACAACATGTAAAAAATGTTATGCGTTTCTACTACTACTCCCACTTGCTTAAAACATTGAATGTTTACTTTAAAAAAAAGTTATAGTCACAACTTGGGGGGAGTATTGCGGCGTATTCAGCTTTAAATAATTAGCGTGAAGCGGAAATAAATTTCTAGTCGACACTATTTACTAAACTATGTACTGCACTACATTCAGTGCTCGTGCGATCGCCAACCTAAGCGGTTCTCCTGAATATACTACCTTGAATAAACTCGTTCATTATTAACCAGGACGGATAGCTTTGTTGTAGTACACCGGATTCTGGGGAGTTTCCTGCCGGGGCTTGCATAAAAATATATAGTAGGCTTGAATCCCCACACCTCGTTTTGCTATGCAACACCTGGCGCGAGAAAGCGGAAATGACACAAAATGTTCACAACAATTTACTGTAGGTAATACCGACCATGGGATCCTCTGTTATATCTTACACCTCGGGTTATGCTTAGTAACGCAGACGATACTGGTCCTTGCATGCGGCCAACGTGTATATGAGCATAGTCAATCTCACAAGTCATATACATATAGACACTCTCTTATGTTATTATTATTTATTTCTCTATTAAAAACTACACTTCAATGTTTAAATAACTAGGTTTTGCGAATGGGTGTTTGCGTTGATGGATGTCCATGAAAACACTTTATTATTTGATGCCTTTTGACCCCCTAAATACGGTAAACAAAGATTTGGCTCTATTCGTTGTTATTTGATTTTGAATAACAATTTTTATTAATAAATTAAAATAAATTTTATTTTGGCTCAATATGGTTATTGTTGTTAAAATCTAAATAAAACAACTTCACGTTTATCTTTTGGAACTGTTTCTATCTATTAACAGTAAAAATTTTGGTTTTCCCGTGATAAAAATTAAACTTCTTTTCAGTAAAATTTTTTTTAGCATTTCACAGTATGTCTTATCTTTTTTCTAACCTAAATCTAGCAGGACATTAGATCAAGTTTTATAACATAAAACTATCAGGTAAACAGTTTATGATCTCTTATGACTTTAAAGAAGTATAAGTTATAAGGTTAATAAGTTTTTTAGTGGTGTTGGATACTAGATTTTCTTATTTTGTGTCAAAATTGTGGTAAGTGAGCCAATTAACTTATTAATTTACCGGCTACATAAAAACCTCTTAAAAAATCATGTACTTTAAAAATAGCTTTACTAGACAAAGGATTATTTCTCTCTGTCTACACTGTTTGAGAAATAAAAATGTATTTTTTTAAAACTTGTTTTGCGTTAAAAAAAACCCGAAGAGAAATTGAGTTCAGGCACTGAACAGGTCCTGGACAGGTGCCTGAGCTGCCTGCGTAGGACCTGCTCAGGCATTAATGGAATTTTATCCAACGATGTGCACAGGACCTGCTCAGGCTCCTGCACAGGCAGCCTCAGCTCAGGCTACCTGGACTAATATAATCTAGTCCTGAACTGACTCTTACACAATTAAAAAGTAAGGTTATGGTACATAAAAAAATGTTTTTAAACAGAGAAGTTGATTTCAGTAAAGTTTTATGGGAAACAGGTAAGCTGGGAATGTGATATTGCAATATTTTTAATAGTTTATCCATGTGGCTATTTGCAATAAAACACTCTCTTTTCCATTTCCGAAGTTGTACATGCAAATCACGAGCTTTATCAAGATTGACACTAGTTTGTTTTTTTTTCTTTTTACTCTGTCATTAGTTGTGTTTAATTCTTTAAAAATTTCTTGCTGAATATCGCTCTGAATTTCTTGCTTATCAAACTGAACAGCTGAGTTTCTCACTAATGTTATCTGTAAGTTTAGCTTTTTTTTCATTATTTCCGTTAAATCCGTTTGGTTTTCTTTTTTCCGAAAATTTTCTTTTACGAATAATTTGCATTCTATATTTATTTCGCGTCTTTCGTCGAGAATTATGGTTTTGCTCCATTTTAGATTAATTGAAAAAAAGGTTAAGACTATACTGTAGTAGCAGACAGTTGATGTCAGTTCAGGCAAGAGCACCGGGCCTGTACAGGAACTGTGCACAGCCTGAACTCACATATGCAGAAAATGCCTATCTTGCCTGTGCAGGACCTGCACAGGCAGTCAGGCAAGCTACGGCACATTTCTATTCGGGAAAGAAAATGTATGAATTCTGTTTAATTTTGACATGGAAAAATTATAACATAGTATAAAATTAAATAATAAACAATAAATTTAGAAATACTGAGCAATTTATTGCAATAAATTGAAGGTCCAACTACATTTATTAACATTCGAAATATTTTTGTTTAAAAATAACATATATGAGTAAATCAAGGGCTATGCTGTTCATATATTTATTGATATTTAGGTGACAACGTTTCGACTACACAATGTCTATACACATTACTTCCTTCTGTGACGTCCCTCTTAGCATATTGAGACTTGACAAGGACTACCTATTGTATAACCGAATCATCGTCGCCTAAATATCAATAAGTATTTGAATATCATAGCCTTTGATATACTTATTTATGTCATCTCCTTCTCTCGCTGTTCTTGGATACTTGGTTGTAAGTTTAAAAATAACGTTGCAATGAACAACCATTAAAGTAAAAGGTATGGATCTTTTTGGAACAGGTCACAATTCTTTCAACAGTAAGAAATTAAACTTAAAAACTTTATTCGATTGTAACAAGTCACATTAGTACTCACTAAAGCTTACGGATGGAAACTTGTCTTCCATGGAGGAATTAACATGACATATTTTTTGAATGTTTCATTTCCTATTTCAAAGAATCATAATCCTTCTAACTCAGTTGGTAAATGTACAATTTTTAACAATTAGATCATGTAAAAGAATTTAGATAAGACTAGGAGTCTTCAATGATGACAACGCTTTTAGATTTTAATGAGGTTACTTCAATTAGAAGAATAATTGAACTCAAAAATTTCCACGAGGATTGAGGATGTAATGAAATTCAGAGAAACCCCTTATATCATATTGTACTACTCAAAAACCATATAAATCATACTGATAGAATGCACACAATATTATTGTAAAACAAATTTAACAAACCTTGATTTGATAGGAGAATTTCCGACTAGTCAACTGTAATAATTTTGAGAGCTCCAATCGCACTTACACATTTCACATTTACAGAGATGTTTCCGAGAAAGTGACTAATTTGGTATTCCGTCAAGTATACATTGTCCAGTCAGACACTGCAATATCCGAACCCAAAATTGATGCACAATCGATTTTCGTTAACAAATAGCAATGATCCACAAGTTTTCACTACATACTTGGGAATGTATCGAAATAATTAACAAATATTAAAGGCCTGTGAGCGATTTAAGTAAGGATAAATAAGAAAGAAGCTTAGGCCGGGATCACTCATCAGTCTCTTCACACTGTCACTTCCCGCAGGTGGCACAAAAATACCTGGTTTGTATGGACCAGGTCTATTCAGACCCACTTATTGGTCTGCATGAGGTCTGCAAAATTATCTATGGTCTGGTCGGATCAGACCTACTAAATGGTCTGAGGTGTAATCCGCAATCGCCGCCAGCAGTTACATATGTAAGACGTGACAACGTTGCGTGGGTAGGGGCGCTACTGTCGATTTTCTGGTGATGTGATCCGCAATCCCGCCAGCAGTAAAGCAGACGACGTCAGTCTACTTGCTCTTTTTCGTAACATTTTCTGATTGTAAGCAAAGCATATTGTGCTAGACGTAAACAAACACGCAGACCAAAAAAAATAGTTTCAAGTGCCAAAAACAAAAATGGAAATAACTGCTTTACTGCTGGCGGGATTGCGCGGGATCACAGCAAAAATGTCACGAAAAAGAGCAAGTAGACTGACGTCGTCTGCTTTACTGCTGGCGGGATTGCAGATCACATCACCAGTAAATCGACAGTAGCGCCCCCAACCACGCAACGTTGTCACATCTTACATATATAACTGCTGGCGGCGATTGCGGATTACACCCCTAAATGAAGCCTTAAGGTAGTTGTACAGGTACCGCAAGAGTCATGAAACTTTTTGATTTGTGTAGTAGAACGATCTGGCAACGTCGCTTTGCGGTCATGTGTGTGTGCCTGTGAGTGTGTGTTCAGAGCATCATAGAAGGAGCACTTCGTTGATCAGCTGTAGCAAAAGGAGAAGCGACTGCTGACATTACTTTAGAAATGGTTATCGATGCTTATAAACAAAGAGGCCTTGATGGCCTATCTAGTCTACTTGGTGCTGATGAAAATGGCACGATTCGAGTAACTAAAAATAATAAAGTTAAAAATAGGCTATTTAATTATTTAAAAAATAAATATTAAATATTTATTACATAAATATTAATTTATAACATGTTTATTTCATTTTTAAGTAGTATATGGCAATAAAATTGTTTTGATGTTCTTTGTATATCAGTTCGTTTTATTATTTATATATTTATTTATCATATTTATTTAAAATATACGTCCTATAACAACAATTGAAAATCTATAAGAGAGATTGCAGTAATCAGGATTTACGAGCAATCATATGTACCTATTTACCTTTCAAACCGCGCGCGTAATATCAGATTATGCGGCGTTGCCATATTTTCAAATAGCGTCTCACAAATGCACGTTCTTCACGCTTTACTATTTAATTACTTTTCTCACAAGTACCCTTGGAAGGTTTTGAAAGCGAATATATAATTGTCATTTAATTATCTTTCTACTGTCCAAAGGGCATCAGAACCTATCCTATATTAGCAACGATATGAATGATAATATACAGACAGCTCCGCGGTTTCCCATAAGACGCCATGTTGAATTGGCATGTAAACAAAAACTCAAGGCATGCAAATAATTATGAATATCTCCCTTTATAGGTACCCTCGGGTCACAAAAATTTAGATTTCTTATTTTTATGCATTAATCTACCATCCTGCAAAATATCATAATTTTCTATCCTATATTTCAATTTGCTGTACAACTAACTTGAAAATACTGTTCCGTTCGGACAAGTGCTCCCGAAAGCGGTACCCGCAACGCGCATAAATTCAAAAAATCATAACTAATAACACAAGTACCTGTAACCCAATGACCCAGGGCGCTTACGAGTCCATTGTATTAAACCATAAATTGTTAATTAATAAGCCAAGTCTCTATCACCAGATAACCCAAGGCGCTTACTGTCCACTCTATTAAATACTAAAATATAAATCAACAACACAAGCACCTATCACCAGATGACCCGAGGCACTTACTGGCCACTCTTTTGAATAATAAAATGTTAATTAATAACATAGGAGCCTATTACCAGATGACCCGGGGCGCTTACTGAACCCTTTATTAAATAATATATTATTTAACAAAGGGGCCAGTAAGCGCCCTGGGTTATCCCGGGACGCTTACTGAACCCTTTATTAAACATTTTATTATTTAACAAAGGGGCCAGTAAGCGCCCTGGGTTATCTGGTGATAGGCGCTTGTGATATTAACAATTCATTATTTAAGAGAGTGGCCAGTAAGCGCCCTAGGTTGTCCAGTGATAGGCGCTAGTAATATTATTGAATATTTTCTTATTTAAAAGAGTGGCCAGTAAGTTCCCCAAGTTATTTGATGATATAAGCTTGAGTTTTTGATTTACATTTTATTATATCATAGAGTGGCCAGTATGCGCCCCGGGTCATCTAGTAATAAGCTCTTGCGTTGTTGATTTACATTTTATTATTAAAAACAAGTAACCAGGAAGCACTCCAGATCATCTAGTGATAGGCTCTTGTGTTATTAATTAACATTTTATCATTCAAAAGAGTAGTCAGTAAGTGCCCTGAGTCATTTGGTGATAGATGCTTAAGTTGCTGATTTACATTTTATTATGTAAATAGAGTTGCTAGTAAGCGCCCCAAGTTATCTGGTGATAGGGACTTGGGTTATTGATTATCATTTTATTATTCAAAAGAGTGGCCAGTGTGTGCCCTGGGTCATGTGGCGATAAACGCTTGTGTTGGTCATTAACATCTTATTATTCAATAAATAGTTCAGTAAGCGCCCCGGGTCATCTAGTAATAGGCTCATGAGTTATTAATTAACATTTTATTATTGTTAACGAAAGGCCAGGAAGCGCACCGGGTCATCTGGTGATAGGCTCTTGTATTATGAATTAACATTTTATTATTCCAAACAGTAGCCAGTTTGTGCCCTGGGTCATAGGTGCTTGAGTTGTTGATTTATATTTTGGTATTTAATAGAGTGGCCAGCAAGCGCCCTGGGTTGTCTGGTGAGAGAGACTTGGGTTATTAATTAACATTTTATGGTTTAATATTATAGACTTGTAAACGCCCTGGGTCATTGGGTTACAGGTGCTTGTGTTATTAATAATAATTTTTGAATTTTTGCGCGTTAAGGGTACCGCCTTTGGGAGCACTGGTCCGAACGAAACAGTATTTTTAAGGCTTCATTCAGACCATTCAGTAGGTCTGATTGGTCTGAACCGACCAGACCATAGATAATTTTGCAGACCTCATGCAGACCAATAAGTAGGTCTGAATAGACCTGATACAGACCAGGTATTTTTAACGTCTCTGGGTGGCAGCCGAAAAGTTTGGCAGCCGAAGCTGGCCCTCCAGCTGCCTGTCTTTAGTTACCGACAGCGTTGGGTTAGGCAGATTCAATATCGGAACGTTTTCCCTCGATCGTATATATAGCTATACAATCGAGGGATAATGTTCCGCCAAGCAGACAGCAGTAAAGGGGCATTGCCAAAGACGGTACCCACAGCGCACGAAAATTAAAAATTGTAATATTAATAACACAAGCGCCTATCACCCAATGACCCAGGGCAATTACTGATCGCTTTGTTAAATAATAAAATATTAATCAAATACAACACAAGCGCCTATCACCAAATGACTCGGGCACTTACTGGCCACTCTTTTAAATAAGTAAATTTAAATTTATACTACTAGCACCTATTACCAGATAACATTTTATTATTGAACAAAGGGGCCAGTAAACGCCCTGGGTTATCTGGTGATAGGCGCTTGTGATATTAACAATTCATTATTTAAGAGAGTGGCCAGTAAGCGCCCTAGGTTGTCCAGTGATAGGCGCTAGTAATATTATTGAATATTTTCTTATTTAAAAGAGTGGCCAGTAAGTTCCCCAAGTTATTTGATGATATAAGCTTGAGTTTTTGATTTACATTTTATTATATCATAGAGTGGCCAGTATGCGCCCCGGGTCATCTAGTAATAAGCTCTTGCGTTGTTGATTTACATTTTATTATTAAAAACAAGTAACCAGGAAGCACTCCAGATCATCTAGTGATAGGCTCTTGTGTTATTAATTAACATTTTATCATTCAAAAGAGTAGTCAGTAAGTGCCCTGAGTCATTTGGTGATAGATGCTTAAGTTGCTGATTTACATTTTATTATGTAAATAGAGTTGCTAGTAAGCGCCCCAAGTTATCTGGTGATAGGGACTTGGGTTATTGATTATCATTTTATTATTCAAAAGAGTGGCCAGTGTGTGCCCTGGGTCATGTGGCGATAAACGCTTGTGTTGGTCATTAACATCTTATTATTCAATAAATAGTTCAGTAAGCGCCCCGGGTCATCTAGTAATAGGCTCATGAGTTATTAATTAACATTTTATTATTGTTAACGAAAGGCCAGGAAGCGCACCGGGTCATCTGGTGATAGGCTCTTGTATTATGAATTAACATTTTATTATTCCAAACAGTAGCCAGTTTGTGCCCTGGGTCATAGGTGCTTGAGTTGTTGATTTATATTTTGGTATTTAATAGAGTGGCCAGCAAGCGCCCTGGGTTGTCTGGTGAGAGAGACTTGGGTTATTAATTAACATTTTATGGTTTAATATTATAGACTTGTAAACGCCCTGGGTCATTGGGTTACAGGTGCTTGTGTTATTAATAATAATTTTTGAATTTTTGCGCGTTAAGGGTACCGCCTTTGGGAGCACTGGTCCGAACGAAACAGTATTTTTAAGGCTTCATTCAGACCATTCAGTAGGTCTGATTGGTCTGAACCGACCAGACCATAGATAATTTTGCAGACCTCATGCAGACCAATAAGTAGGTCTGAATAGACCTGATACAGACCAGGTATTTTTAACGTCTCTGGGTGGCAGCCGAAAAGTTTGGCAGCCGAAGCTGGCCCTCCAGCTGCCTGTCTTTAGTTACCGACAGCGTTGGGTTAGGCAGATTCAATATCGGAACGTTTTCCCTCGATCGTATATATAGCTATACAATCGAGGGATAATGTTCCGCCAAGCAGACAGCAGT